GAGGGAGAATGAGAAGGAGAAACAGTCCCAAGTGCAGCCAGATGATGATGGGCCCCCCTCAGACAGCCAAAACACTGGAAGCCCTGTGATGAGAGAGCCGGCAGGTGGCAGAGATGGGAGACCACACCTGCCAAAGAGGGCCCCCACGGGAAGAGGAGACAATGGATCCCAGGCCCAAGGACACGCCACCTGCCCCAGACATGAGCAGAAGCCAGAGGCCCCAGGCCTCGGGGTCCAGAGCCCCTGACCCGACCCAGGCCAGGCAAGGCAGACATCGACCCCATGGCGCCCCCAACGCCTCAGAGCTCCAGTGGCAGGAAAGGGGTCAATGAGACCCCTCTCACCTTCAACCCACCTCACCTGTGTAAATATATTCTATTGTGTTGGATGCATGTCATGGTTTGTGAAGTGTTGTATGATGGAGTGGAGGTAATTTGTGTGGTAACTAAGGTGCAGTTAAAATTGGGGGCTAGTTGCGACACAGGCACCCCACAGCTGGCTGGCAGTGGAGCTTCCCAATGTGCCCTTCCCACACCACAAGCCCTCTATGTCTAATGTGTGATTAAAATTGAGGGGTGGCTAGTGTGGGAGGAAGGAGGGCAAGGCCACAATAAAGCTTCCCCACCCACCAAACACCCCACAGCCTGCCCACCCCCCAGGGTCCTAAGGGTATATGTAGTGAGACATAACCAGAGGGAAGATGTGGAAAAAGTAATAGGGCTCCGGCTTCCTCCCACCATCCAAAAACATGCAGGCTAGGTTGATTGGTTACCCTAGATTGTCCTTAGGTGTGAGTGTGAGCGTGAGTGGTTGTTCGTCTATGTGTGGCCCTGCGATGGACTGGCGACCTGTCCAGGGTGTACCCCGCCTTGCGCCCGATGTCAGCTGGGATTGGCTCCAGCCCCCCCGCGACCCTGTACGCAGGATAAGCGGTTGATGATGGATGGATGGATGCATCCAGAAGTTTTGGTCTGGACTAATGGATAGATTGAACCATCTGTTTTCAATAGTAAAATGTTTATCTTTGATAATAGCTTTGGGGGCGAGAGTTTAAAAGAGTTTGTTATCATCAGAGGTAAACCTCAGTCCATTTTGTTATACTTAAATCTCGCCCAAATTATGGATTTTAACTGTTCATTTTCAAGAAAGTTACTATTGCTAATTCCATATTGTGCCACTTGACCCTGGAATAGAATAAAGACACTGCCCTGAATGACATGCTCTAGATGTCTAATCCCTTCATTGTACCACAATGGGGAACTTAACGTTTTCTTATTGTGGAGGAATTGTTCCATATTGGAGTAAATGTGCGTGGGATAGGTGAAGACCTAGATATTTTGAGAAATTCCCACCAGGCTGCCAGGGAAGTGCTTATGTTAATGCTTTTAAAGCAGGTATGATGTTTGATACTGGAGCTGATGAATGGCATATCTGAAATTTTTATTTCCTTATAGAATGTTTTTTCTATATCCATCCATGAGTGGTCCAGTGTGCTTTGACAAATTGGTAGTTCTACCACCACAATCTTTTCCTTTTGGTAAGGTTTTTATTTCCATTAAGATTTAGAGATGTTTGATAGATAGATAGATAGATAGATAGATAGATAGATAGAGACTTTATTGTCATTGTATATAAAATACAATGAAATGCAGTTTAGAGCAAATCATTGAACTTAGCAGCTTTAAAATCACATATATAAATAAATAAGCCATAATACATTAAAGCATACATTAAAGCAATATTAGCATAAAAACTAACTGGTCCAAAAATTAGATAAAGTACATTCAGTGTGTGTTAAGTACACTTTGGCATCATGTGATCAACATTCAAAGTTTCAGCAGTATGTCCACAGCTCTCAGAAAAAAGTCAGTCCACTGACTTAAACCATACAGCAGAGGGTCGGCTGGGTATCATTGAAAATAGGTTATTGATTTTAGGCAGGACCATCATTTTTATGGTGGCGATTCTTCCCATGAGTGATTTGGGCGATGTCGTCCATCGCACAAGGTCATCCTCTATTGATTTTAGTAGAGGCGTGTAGTTGGGACAGCCAGATATTTAATGTTAACTGACCGCAGCAGTGTATACTCTGTATACTCTGTGTATACTCTTCCAGATATACTCTGGAAATCACACATTACAGGTAAAACTATGGATTTACTCCAGTAAATGGAGTAGTGTCATTCTTCCCATGAGGGATTCAACGGAACCTTTGAGGACCTTGATTTCTGCAGTGAGCTCAACCACCTGTTTCTGGCTGAACTTCAGGGATTCCCACAAAGCCTGAAACACTTTGTGGAGAACTTCCACCAGAAATAATTGGGCAACAAAGCTGGACAATTTCTTGTCTTTTGAGTCCAGGATGTCTGCGACGTCACCGCCTTGTGAGGAGATCTCTCCAGGTGAGTCTTCAGTGTGGTTTCTCTTGGCCTTCCCCATGACCAGTCTGTGAAAACACTGGTCAATGTAGTTGTCAACTTCAAGGATCTTCCAAATACTCATCTTCAAGGTCCTCCAGAGCTGTGGGATTGTTGCGATTTATTTATTAAATTGGCGGATTGTCTAATGAATGAAATGTTTGTTTAGCTGTGACCATTTTGACATTGCACAAGTCTCTCTTGAGATTAGACAAACTCTCACTGTGTCATATCTTTAGCTTCACAATATTGAAGAACACCTATCGCTCTGTCCCCCCGTGCAGATTTGAGGCTCTCTGATCACTGTATGCTTCATCTTCTCCTGACTTAAAGGCAGAAATTAAAATCTGCTAAGCCTGTGGGCAAGACTGTGAGGAGATGGACTAAAAGCTCAAAGCTGGAATTAAAGGCCTGCTTTGAATTTTCTGATCTGCATCTGATCTGATTTTTGATGCTGCAGCTACAGACTTGAACTGACACTGTTATATCTTATATCAGCTTTTGTGTGTGCCAACGAAAACTTTCGGCACATACAGCACAGCAAGAGGCCAAGGAGGAGGCCTGCAGAAGTGGGGACATAATCCTTTACAAACAGGCCTGCAGCCTGTTGCACCAGCTGTGTGTAAGTTCAAATGTAGCCTAGTTATCTTTACACCCTAACTACATCCTGAAAGACAGAAAGTAACAGAAAGGCTGCTGAAAATCATGTTCATGATTGTGGACTTCAGAAGGACCCCCCCAACACTGCCTCTCATCACCATCCTTAACAGCACTGTGTCTGCTTTAGAAAACTTCATGTTGCTGCTGATCCACTTCTATGATGCAGTTTTCTGGTCTGTTCTCTGTACATCAATCACTTTCTGGTTTGAATCTGCCACCGAACACGACAGGAACAGACTACAATGGACAGTAAGGACTGCAGCATCACTGTGCCAACCTGCCCTCCATTCAGGACTTATACATGTTCAGGAGTCAGGAAATGGTTAGGAAACATCCCTGCAAACCCACCACACCCTGGAAACCTGTTCCAACTTCTCCTCTCTGGTAGTCACTACAGAGCACTCTACATCAAATCAACAGATACAGAAGAACAGTTAATGAAGAGTTACTATAGTCTCAGAAAACAATCCTCTTGCAAAAACCCGAAAACACTAAATATCAACTATACTTACAAATCAGAATTTATTAAACATGTCACCATTTCAAATATAAATCTAAGCCTATATACCATGTATATTGATATGTGTACATGCATACAATGTCACATCCCCCTATGCGTGCCCACCTACTTCATGTTTATAAAGTAACCGTTTACATAAATTATTCAATATTTATTCCAGCACTTTTTGTTTACAATTTCAATTTACAGAAACATTTTGACTTGTAGACATTATATGTTTTTGATTATTGTTGATTTTTATATACACAGTTTTAGAATACCCCCATTTTTCTAGTTTGAATAGATATATATACACACAAACACACTGCCAGTCAAAAGTTTGGACACAACTTCCCATTCAAAAGTTTTTCTTTATCATTATTATTTTCTACATTGTATCATTAATAATGAAGACATCAAACCTATGAAAGAACCCATATAGGAAAAAAATTATGGTCCTAGTGCAAACCAGATGGGATGGCATGTTGCTGCAGAATGCTGTGGTAGCCATGCTGGAATTTTGTCAGTTTGTGAACAGTTTATGTTGAGATATGTCTGCTACTTGATATCTCTGAAGCATTTACAGTATGTGAGCTCTAACCTGAGGTGTTGTTAATTTGCGGTTTCTAAAGCTGGTAACTCCAAAGAATTTATCCTCTGCAGCTTCCTTTCCTTTTGATGGTTTTCGCAACTGGTTTTCGCAACTGCACTTGAGTTCAAGGTTCTGACTGACCTTCATGTCTCACCACAGTCCATCCTTACGATGGTATGTGGTTTCTCTTTACATAGTTATTGCCACAATAAGGATTGGAACAGTAGACGAACAGGGCTATTCACTGTATAGAATTGTGTACCAACCCTACCTCTGCACTAGACAACTGATGGTTTCAAACACATTAAGAAGTCAAGACATTCCACAAATTAACTCTGGTCACACCTGGTAATTGAAAACCCGTCCAGGTGACTATCTATTGAAGCTGATTGAGAGAACGTCGAGAGTGTGCAAAGCTGTCATCAAAGCAAAAGGTGGCTACTTTGAACATATTCTGGTTTTACACTTTGTTTATTGCATAATTCCATACTGTAGGTGTTCTTTCATAGTTTTGATGTATTCTGTATTAATCTACAATGTAGAAAATAACAGAAATAAAGACAAACATTGAATGGGAAGGTGTGTCCAAACATTTGACTCTTACTGTATATAGTTATTCTATTATGTTGTATGTACATAATAATTAATTGTTTATGTTTCAGTTGTTCAGCTTTATTGTTCCTGTTTGAGCTGTATGTCTATTTATGTGTAAGTGCACTGAGAGCATTGAAAAATCAGAGTCAATTTCCTGCCTATAAAGCTGATTCTGAAGTAAATCAAGAAAGAACCAATTTCATTTAAACATCCTCTGTTATTTCATGTGTTTCCACAGTTACGGACGAGTATATGCTGCCGACCCCTACAACCACACACTCACTCCAGCAGCCACATACAGCGTTGGTGCCATGGTAAGACCACACATCTCTGTTCTCCATTCCAGGTCTTCTTTACATCATGCATCATCTCATTTGCAAAGTATCTAAAATATTTTTTTATATCTCCAAAAGTTTTAAAATTGAGTTTACCTTTTGTAGTGCATGTGCCTTATATATATATATACACATATATATAATTTAAAACTGTATTTGGTGTACAGGTTTGAGTGGAGTGACAATAATGAAGGCTAACTGACCATTTCTCACATTTGGAGTATGGCAATTGCAACATAATCCTGATACTTTACAATTAACTGAGTTTTGGTGAGAGCTAAGAAAGAAAGCTAAGAGAAGAGAAGCAGAGATGACACTAGAAAAGCAAATTATACCTGCCATATTAGTAAGATTACATCCAGTCAATTTATTGCACTGACAGAGGAAGTAAAATTCAATTCAATTCAATTTTATTTATATGGCACCAATATATATATAACAAGAGTTATCTCATTGCACTTTTCATATAGAGCAGGTCTAAGCCGTACTTTTTGTAACAGTATTTACACTGCAGTAGTATGCACTTGGCGACAAGACAGAAACCTCGAGCAGAACAGTAGCCCAGTAGTGTACAATTTCATTTCATTCTATTTCATCACTAAATCCACTTCTGAGAAGTTTTGAGGCGAGACATCAACTCTGTAGATTTCGAATATTGGTAGTGTTACAAAAATTGATGGTGGATCGAAAATGCGCTTAAAGGTTTTCGGGTTGAGGAGCTCCGCAAGTGGCGGCGGAGGAAGCTCGCGCTAACCGGCGGGAGTAGCTTGTGAGGCTGGCTGGCAGGCCGCTTACAGAGCCCTCTGGTCCCATACCCACACAGACCACTGCAGCCAACGCAGCAGAGACTCCAGCAACAACAGCAGAGGAAACTACAGCTGTTAGATTTTCATACTGCTATTCTGTCTTTACATTCTGAGTAACGTTGAAACTCTTTAAATTAAATCAAGAGACAGCTGGTGTGGCTGGAATCTCTGGAGTCTGGATCTGTGGCTGCAAGTCATGTTCTGGAGCCAGAAACACCTGCAGAAAGCGATAGGAGAAGAGAGGAGATGGACGAGAAAGCACAAGACTACGGGAGACGAAGAAGTCGAGTTAGTAACATGCAATAATGGGATTGCATATAGACGTTGCATATAGAAGGAAAGAGAGAGGAGCTCAGTGCATCATAGGAAATATAGCAGCATAACTATGTGATGGTTCAGGGCTCACCTGAGCCAGTCCTAACTATATGCATTGTCAAAAAGTCTTAAGCCTACTAAGTTGCAGTAGATGTAGCTTTAAACACAAACACAAACAAAACAAAAAATGTCCTTGTCATATTAGCTGAGCGCAGACAGAGGAAAAACCAGAGCTTAGGACCCAAATGCAGGATACCCAGGCTGAACAACTTCAGTACTCGATGTTTATTAACAAAAAAGGTGAACATCTTCACCAAAGGTGAGGCAGACAGTCAATAAAGCAAACAAAATCTAAAAACAGGTACAGGCTATGGTCCAAGAAATTCAAAAAACTTCCACTCAATAAGATACGAGTATGACCAACAAATGACTACACTGACTCAAATATAAAAAATAGAGGTGAGGATAACCCAATGGCACACAATGACAGGAAGCAAAGTCACACAATACACACAAGGAAGGATATTTTCAAAATAAAACAGGAAATAAGTGTCTGCTTGTTGTGCTGAAGAGAGGAGCTTGTGCTCTCTGGCAGAGGCTAGACAGGGGTGAAACAGAAGTCCTCAGGCAGATGGCCTGAGTGCTGAACAGGAGGTCCAAAGGATGACCAGAAGGGCTGAGCACATCCGGAGGGGACAACAAGATAAAGGCCGGCATCAAAAGTGGAAACCTTCTGTAGGCCAAATGGCGATAGCGGTAGCCCTCTGCAGGCTGGTGGCAAAGGCTGAACCCCTCTTGAGGCCAGCGACATAAAAAAAAAAAAGCCTACAGGGACAAAAATAAGTGGGTAAAAAAAGAGTGTCGGCAGGTACAAACTCTTGTGGATGGACTTGTGAAAGAGGCAGAAAATTCTTCAATAAGGAGAAATCTAAAGTACCCTTTACAAGATCACCAAGCTCCTGAGTGGAAGCAACACCAAGCCCTCAACTCCTGTACTGATCTGGCAGGAAAATAACAACAGAGCACCAGGAAGCAGCACACTAGGTTGAGTAGTTCTGAAATGTGCTTAATCAGCCAGAGCCTAATGAACCAGCCAACCCCTCACCTGAAGCTGATATCCTGAACATTGATGTTGGTGCTCCGCCTGTAGAGGAAGATGGAATCCATCCAAAGCCATGAAAACTGGCAAAGTAGCAGGTATCAACTCCATCCATGTTGAGATGCTAATGCCTGACATCTTAACATCTCTCATCTACAAGGGCCCTGTCTACCCTTTTCAGGAATATATGGAATTTGAAGAAAATATTCCCAGTTATTTGTCCAAGGGCCTAATTGTCAAGATCCCCAGGAAAAAGAGGTGGCGTGGGATCATGCTTATTTCCACCGCCTCAAAGTGTTCTGTAGAGTTTCCCTGGACAGAATTAACAGTGCCAGCAAACAGCAAACTCTGTGAAAAACAGGCTGGATTTTGGAAGGGCAGAGGTTGCACAGGTCAAAAGATCAAATCCTTGCTCTTTGTAACATTACAGAGCAATGCATTGAGTGGAATGTTCCATTGTTTGTTAATGTCATCAACCTCAGAAAGACATTTGACAGCATTCACCACAAACCTGTGGAAGATCCTGCTTAATTGGAAAGTTTTATGACCACTTTGAATGCAGTCTCATACTTAGCAATATCATCTCTGAGTGGTTCCCTGTACAATCTGGAGTACGCCAAGGCTCCATTCTGTCCCCCATTCTCTGGATTGGATCAATAGGATTGTGCGAAGAAAAACTACTGACATATCAGAATCAGAATCAGAAGGAGCTTTATTGCCAAGCAGTGTTTTACACATACGAGGAATTTGCTGTGGTGATAAGGTGCTACACGTAGACAAATATCATAAACATATCTTGAGGCATCCAGTGGACCCTCTGTTATGTCTGAAAACGTTCAGTATTGTGCCCTGTTCGACTTTGTTATGATATGCACTGCGAGTGACAGGTTACTGTGCCTTTAAGACTTACAGCAGTGATTTACGGCAAGAGGTAAAATGTAAGGTTTGCGGCAGTTGAGTAAACGCAACACGAACAAAGCTACACTGTGCTACACAAACACATCATTTGGTGAACGAGGATGTCTGAACTCGTCTTACCACCACCGCCACCTTTCCTACCATTGCCTCGGGCAGGAGGGACAGCGAATCTTTGCCACGCTCACCTTATTGGATGACAAGTACGTCACAGCCACGGCTGCCTTGAAGGCTCACTTCAGCTCCGGAAGAAGCCGGCGGATGCACTGCTTTGAGTTCGGTCAGCGGACCCAAATGCCGGGTAAGACCGTTGCCCATTTTGTATCAGCATTACGTGAGCGGGCTAGATAGTCGACCAGTTAATAGAGAAAACGTCATGTCACCAGCTGAGGGAGAGACTTTTACTAGAGCCGGACTCCACGACGCTAGCGGACGCTTTAGTAATTGGAAAGCAGTTGGAACCGGCCCTGATCGAGGCGCGCAAGTTCGGCCGCGCTGTGCACGAGCCTGTGACATCATCACCACCGTCAGTTCAGACTGCCGAGGCGGCTGACAGGGTGAGTGACAGTCTGGATGTACAGAGGGTGGACAGGTGGCCCAGGGAGAGTGGGCACAAGAGCTGTAGCAACTGTGGCTTCCCTAAACATGCAACTAGAGATCAGTCATGTCCTGCCCATGGGAAATGTTGTCGTAACTGCAACAAGTTGAACCAGTCGCTCCTCTCCTGCTTGCCCCGATACTGCTGCTGTTCCCATAAACACTGTACAGACCCCACAGCCTTCGTTCAAACTCTGCACATGCCGTGTGGGCACAGCTCTCATTCCACTCCTTGTGGACACAGGGGCTAAAGTTTCAATCCTGAACAAATGCACATATGACCGCTTCTTCAGTCATGTGCGTCTGGCGGCAGCGGCTAAATCCCTGTTAGGCTACGGCCATTTCCCCATCTCTACTCTGGGTGTGGCCCGCCTCCCCGTCAGCTATGATCGACAGTGTGCGCCTGACACTAAGTTCTGCATCACCCGGAAGGGAGCTAATATTATGGGCCTTGCCTTGCCCTGGGCTTTACTGTGAGTGATGCGAGGGGCCTGCGTGTCCTGCAGGTCGCCGCATCCTGGCCTGACCGCTACCCACAACTGTTCAACAGGGTTGGCCGCATGCCTGGATTTGTACACCAGCCTACTGTTGATCTGTCAGTCCGCCCTGTGATCCAACCCCTACGGTGCATTCCCCTGGCTCTCCGTGATGCGGTCCAGGCCGAGCTGCACCGCCTGGTGGAGGCGGACGTCATAGAGCCCGTCGACGCCTCACCATGGGTGTCTAACCTGGTGATAGCCAAGAGGAGGGGGGCGGACTGCGACTTTGTGTCGACCTCACAGATGTAAACAAAGCCATCATTCCTGATAAGTACCCCCTACCTACGGCTGAGGAGCTCACTAGCCATTTCCATGGCTCCACTGTTTTCAGTAAGATGGACTTACGTAACGGCTACCTGCAGGTCCCTCTGGCACCGGCTAGCATGGACCTTACAGCGTTTGTCACGCACGTGGGGGTTTTCAGATTTAAACGCATGCCGTTTGGACTTTCATCAGCCCCGAGTTGTTTTCAGAAGATAATGTCACTCATACTGGCTGGTATCCAGGGTGTCTCCATCTACCTGGATGATATGGTGGTGCATGCACCCTCCACCGCGCTGCATGACGATCGCCATGACGATCGCCTGGAGCAGGTCTTCCAGCGTTTCGAACAGCATGGGGTCACACTGAACTCTGAGAAATGCATGTTCGGGGTTGAGGAGGTTGAGTTCCTGGGCTTCCGGCTCTCGAAGAAGGGCATCGCCCCGA